GGACTGAGTTATGCCCTGCTCGTTACAGAATCCGCGAAGAATGCCGGAGCAAAACTCACCCCCAAGGTCGAAGTGGAGACAAACGACACGACTACCACGAGTGGCCTCAGTGGCCAATAAACACCTGATCAGCATAGAATCCAGGTCGGACTTCTTCGCCAGGGGGAACACCGTGGTGTAGCGGGAGTAGTCGTCAACGACCACCAGAAAGAAGCTCTCCCTCTCGGGCCCAGGGCGAGGGGCGAAGCCCCAGACGTCCAAGTGGAGAGTCTGAAAGGGTGCGGTGGCCGGACGAAGGGAGGAGTGAGGGGTGGCGCGCAGCCTACCCTTGACGCAAGGAGTGCACAGCGGTGCAGGCGAAGGAGGGAGCGATGCAATCACGCCGGGAGACCTGAGACAATACGCTGACTGGACATGCTTCGGAGGCGTGGGAGGGACGGGTGACAAAGACGGTGGTGCCACAAGTCTGTCGGGTGGGTGAGCAACCGACAGGAGCACGACGCAGCAACCTGACCGGACGCAGTTACTTGGGGGGGCGCAGTGTGCAGAACGAAGAGACCTGAGTGGGGCTCCCTGGTGAACGTGGCAAGAAGTGCCCCGTTGGAAGCGTCCGAACATATCGCAGTCCTGTCGTGCGCAAGAAAGGTGACTGTGGTCCCACGATCCTGAAGGTATCTAACACCCACCAGGTTCCGAGAGAACGAGGGGATGTAGAGACCAGTGAGGACACCAGAGAGGACAGTCGGGCATGAGAGGGTGGTAGAGCTGCGTGCAACTGCTGGTCCTGAAGTAGGATCAGCCAGTGCAACCGGAAATGGAGCAGGAAGCGGTGTGAGAGTCGTGTGGTCGCGGAAGAAGCATTGAGACGCACCAGAGTCCAGCGTGAAAGAGAGCGACGCGGCAGCCGTAGGTGCACCTGGGCTAGTAGCTACACAAGCACCTACACTAGAAGCACTAGAACGACACTAGCATCAGGCAAGGATCCTAAGTTACAAACATGCGAGCAAACAGATCCCGCAACACTATTGTCAACATCAGCATACATCGCAGAATCGGATTGCAAAACATCAAGCAACTTCACTGCACACATCTGAAACAACGCTGGGCCACATGAACGAGCCAGCGAGGCCCAGTCCGGAACGGGGCCAAAGCCGTACTGAGCAAGAAGACGGTCCGTGAGCTGCGCGAAGCACTGACCCGGAGGGTGAAGACGGCCACGGGGCTGACCCTGACGAGAGCCCGTCTGAACCACGTATTGGCAGGGAGGAGGAGTGACACCACGCGACGCCCAGCTGGGTGGATCACCGCCACGTCCAACGCTCCCTGGCCCACTAGGTTGTTGGTGCAACCCTACGGTTTGCACTCGGCTTGTTGTCCGTGTGCGTGAATGTGTGTGTGTATGGAATGGTATGAGGGCATGGGATAATATATATTTCATGCTTATAATTGTGTGTGAATGTTGAGTCATGATGTCGAGTGTGTGTGTCGAGTCAATAGCGAGTTATCGCTAGACGCGTGTTACGCGGTCGTTTGTGTCTCGCGCGCGGTTTCTATTTTGTCGTGCGCGGTTTCTATTTTGTCCTGTGTCGAACGTTCGGCGTGTCGCAGGTGTGTGCAGCAGACCCATCAAGAACTCAAGGATGAGTTTGTGATGAAGAGCCCGAGCCTTGGTGTCAAGCCTCAAGTGATTTCGAAGCTTGCCAAAAGGGTACACCTCAAGATATTGAAGATAGTTACATTACTTTGTGTAGTGTAACATTTCACTTGGTGTAGGCCCTAGTGAAGGGTAGTTTCGAGACCCTTCGTGGTTGGGGACAGTGTGGCACTGTTCCACATCACTGTACCTCGGCTCTTGGGGTTTGTAGGAGCTGGGAGTCATTCCCAACTCGTAACTCTTCAAAATTTGTGTTCTAAGTCTATAGTGGCTGCCATAGTGCCGTTCGTTCAAACTGACGCTGTGTCGTCAATCCTTTATCAAATCGTGCAATCTAAATTGCTTATTGTAGGCGACGCTATGACGCTCCAGATCCAAGTTGAATCAGGTCATTTGAAGCTGTGACCAGAACGCTATCAACGTTTGAAGCCGCTCTGCAGAAATCCGTCTGTGCACTCTATCTTTCGTTTTAGGCACATTCAAGCCTATTGTGACTATAACATAGGTCCCTGCTGCTGAGACTGCTGTTGCACCTGCTTGGACCTGCTACTGCGGCTGTCCCTGCTGCTGCTGCTGCTGTCCCTGCTATGGCCGCTGCTGCTGTGACTACTGCCGCAGCTGTGCCGTGTACCAAGCGACTGGCCCAGCACCCTCTCTCCTCGGGCCCGCAAGCCCAGTACCACCTCCAATGCCGCCTCCACCAGACGCACTAGTACCGCCGCCACCACCTGCACCACGAGCGCCGCTACCACCTCCACCACCAGCGACGCCACCACCGCCGCCACCACCCTTCCCGCCTCTCCTACCTCCCTTACCCAGTTTCTGCCCACTAGCGACAGAAACGGCCGCATACTCCTCATAACTAGACAACGCAGTAGTGGCAAGAGAATCAGTGAACGTGGGAAGCTGGGGAGCAGCGCACCCGTCAAAGAGACAAGGAGGCAATGCGGCAGTGGCAGCGGCAACAGCGAGGAGGTTGTTCTCGATCTTAGTGAGGGTAGACTCAAGAAGATCGATAGTGAGCTCGGTGGGGTGCTTCAGGAGCAGCACGTCGCGGGAAGAAGAAAGGTAATCAGGGAGGCGAGTGACTAACTAGTGGAGGGTAAGCCACATAGGCGGTGGGGAAAGTTTGAGCTGTTTCTCAGTGCATGCAGCACGAAAGCTAGTGTCAAGAGAGCGGAGGTGGGTGACAAGGTCTCGAACAAGCCCAATTCAGGGAACACAAAGGGCATAAGGAGGCGGGTGAGTGAGGCAGAGGAATGGGTGCGATAGCGAGCACGAATAGCGTCGTATAGATCCTTTGCAAAGTCCCACTGGGAGAAGTGGACTGCCTCGAGCGGCGGGAGAAGGTCGGTGAGGGCGTTGCAGGCAGCGGCATCGCGAGACTCCCAGACGTCACGCACCAGTAACAGCCTATAGTACTCGTCCTGCTGCGTAGCGGTGGGAGTAGCGGGCAGAGACCTAGGGCGTGGAAGGGCCTGAAGAGAGTCAGAAGCGTGAGCATAAAGGTGGGCGCCATCCTGACGCTGACTCTTACGGTGGCGTTGGGCCTGGGTAAGCCACGTGTAAACTCGATCGGGCGACCTTCGGCGTCGAAACGTAAAACACAAGAGGATGCCGTACTAGGTGCTAGGAGCGAGTGGAGGTAGGAGTGAACGGAACGAGAGACGCCAGGCCAGGTATGTGAGAGGAACTAGGCGAGGAGCGGTAGGCCGAACAAGACACGAACCCTACACGGCACAAAGGGAGTCGACTGCGGCTGCCAGCCGCCTCTAGGAACGACTATGGTAGGAGACTCGTGGTACATAGTATAAATGGGAGGGGTGGAGTACGGTCTAGCGCGGTCGGGTGCGGTCGAGTGCGGTTGAGTGCGGTCTAGCGCAGTCGAGTGCCGCGGATTGCGGTTGGGTACGGTCTAGCGCGATGGAGAGCGGTCAAGTACGGTGGGGAACGGGGTGGCCTGCCAAGGAGCACGGGTAGCAATGCGTAGCGAAGGCACGTGCAAGTGCTGCTGCTGCACTCGCAGCTCCTGGTGCGCGAACAGCTGCGCGTGTGGCTACTGCTGCTGCGCACGCATCTCCTATTGCGTGGGCAGCTACGCGTGTGGCTGCTGCTGAAGCTGCACGTTCGGCTTCAGAGGCGCGCGCGGATGCAGAGGCGTGTGCAGCTGGGACTCCGTGTGCGGGCTGCTGTTGCTCGTGCACGTGCGGTGGCGCGCGCGCTCGCGGCTGCTGCTGCTGTGCGCACTGACTGCTCATGGCTGTGCGTGCTGCTTGCTGCGCGCGCGGCTGTGCGTGCTGCAGTTGCGTGCGCGCAGCGGGACAGGGCGCGGGACGGGACGAAAAAAGAGGGACGCGCGGCGGAGCAACGCGCGTGCGTGTGCAGGTGCTGCAGCGCGCGTGTTTGCCTAGATCGGGGCTTTATGGAGCGTTACGGGGCGCGCTACGGACGGGGCGCGTCACGGACGGAACGAGGCGCGTTACGGGCGGGACGGGGCGCGTTACTTACTTAGTAGCAAGGATGATAATTAGGGTAAGGGAGGGCGGGGGGGTGGGGAGGGGGGGGTGTACAAGAAGAGTGTCGAGAGTATATGTGTACCCCCTGGGATGTGACTCACTACAGCCTATCTAAACTATATAACATAGTTTGACACCCGCTGCCCTATCGTTTATTTTAGCGAGGGAATGGTGTAGGACGCTTGGGGACGGGCAGCTCACTGAAAACTTAGGGTACGTTCCTGGCTCGTGTCATACTTCCGGTCTTCCGGGGAAGCTGCCCCACAGTTGGCCCCACTTTGGGTCATCCGAGACCCACTTCGGGTCTTCCGGCAAAAATTTGCCCCTGGTCTCGGAACACACGAAGTTTGACCAGAAGTTTGACACGAGCCAGGAATGTACCCTTAGGTGTACACGGTCCATCCTGGCGCTGAAACTTGATGTTGAGCGTGGCGACAAGCCACCACGCGTCAGAATCGGTTCGAACCTAACTTTGATACCATGTCAAAATGTGAAGGAATGACTACAATAAGGGCATACAGCTGGGATGTGTAACAACCCATACCCTCTATACACATGCAAATAATTGAATGTGTACTTTGACAAAAATACCCGCATCGTAATCAGCACAAGGCTACCGTAAGTTGTAGAAGAACTGAACGAGCTAAACAAAGTAAATTCTCTTCTCAACTGGTCAGATCTGGCTGTTAATGCCTTAAAATCCTAGTACCTGGGATTCTTTCATGTGTTGCGGCAGCATTTGATTGCACTGCTTGCCCATGCGCGTAAGAAGCTACTTGCCAGGCGGGCTGGGCACAGCCATTGAAGCAGAATGTCATCCAGCAGAGCGGTCAGTCCCGGTAGAAAAACTTCCACACTTCCCGAACATTGGAGGAGCCATCCACAACCTCCTTGAGCAAGTGGCCGTGCAACAAACCTGGACATGCACGGGTTGAACATGGGAATGAGACGAATGGAACGGTATGCATGTCATTAAGCACCAGTCATATCGCATCGAGAATTAAAGCCGTTGGCCCAAATTGCACAAGTTTTAAAAAGATGACGAGAGGGAGTTTTCCTGGTTTGGGTTTTGGCGAGTGTTTCCAATTTCGCGAAATTCGCTTTTTTCGCCAAACCTAGCCAGCCCCGCGTTTTTACCCTGGTGGGTGTGTCAGACTTAGAAAGTCCCAAATTGCAGCTGCTCTACTTTTCAAAGCTTGCACAGTCCACTTCGTCAAGTTCTAAAAACTTGACCCACGCGGTCCGCAATTTGGGACGCGGGCTTTAAGCATTAAGCATCTCGCATAAAAGCCCGCAGCCCAAGTTGTTCAACCTTACTAGGGATGGAGCTGGACAAAAAGAAGTCTAGGTGCAGGGCGGGGTGGGGGGGCTTGGTTTCGCCCATCTTTTTGCCACGCTGTTTTCTGCCTGACTCGACAAACACCAGGGGCCATTCGCGTTTGGTTGCGAGAGTCCTCTGGTTTCACGAACACAGCTTCATTTGCGCTATCCAATTAGATCCTTTCACACGATCCGTAACCCTACTTCGCCCAGGAAACACCTTCACAGCAACACACGATCAAGAATTGCCCCGCGCGGTCCGCAATTTGGGCTTTAAGCATTAAGCAGCGCTCATGAAGCATTAAGCATCTCACATTAAGCATTAAAGTCCGTGTCCCAAATTGCGGAGCGCGCGGGTCAAGTTTTGAAAACTTGATGTCTGGGAGTTTGCAAACTTGAAAGAAGCGCACTTGCAACTTGGAACTATAGAGCAATGACTGAGTTTGGCGAACAAAAATGAAACTGACGAAATTTAAACTCTCGCCACAACCCAGACCAAAGAACTCCGTCACCGTCAACTTTTAAAATTATGAAGAATTTGCGCCACGGCCTTTAAGCATCGCGCATTAAGCTTTAAGCATCGCAAAATAAGTATTGGGCATAAAGCATCAAGCATCAAGCGATAAAGCATCAAACATAAAGCAATAAGCATCAAGCATCAAGCAATAAGCATCAAGCATTAAGCATCAAGCATTAAGCATCAAGCATAGCATCAAGCATCAAGCATTGAGTATGGAGCATCAAGCATGGAGCATCAAGTATCGAGCTACAAGCATCACCAACGCATGAGCACCAGAATGGAGAGAAGGGCGAGCAGAAAGCCCTTGGTCAAATCAGATTAAGTTCCCTCGCCCCCTGCACCTCTACTCCTCCTCCCCTCTTCCCATGCTCACCTTGCTGCTCCACGAGGATCTTGAACTGGCGTGTGCCGCCGCCCACCCCAAAGTAGTGCTTCTTGCCCGCCACGTACAGCACGCCGTGCGGCCGCCGCAGACACTGCCGGGCCATGGCGGGGAAAATGCACGCAGGGGTGAGCGAAAACAAAGGTGGGATAACGCAGAGGGGAAACTAACGCAGAGGGGAATCTAACGCAGCGGGGAATCTAACGCAGCGGGGAATCTAACGCAGCAGGGAATCTAACGCAGCGGGGAATCTAACGCAGCGGGGAATCTAACGCAACGGGGAATCTAACGCAGCGGGGAATTTAACGCGCCTAGAAGCAGAGGCTGCACGCCCTCGTCCTTGAGCTGTTGTCAGTGTGGAGAGACACACGGAGGGGCAAGAGTGGAGGAGAGGCACATTGCCGACTAGAGCTGCAGTTGAGAGAAAGTGCTGCTGGCAAACAGCAAGGGCGCACCTTAGAGACGAGGGCGAGCAGCTTGGCCATGGAGCGCGGCGAGTACACCGTCTCCGCCGTCAGGATGATGTCGTACCCGCCCCCGCCCCCGCCCGCCCTCCCGCCCCCGTGAACCAATGCCGAAGTGCCACCTGGCGATGCACAGAAGGAAGGTGTGCCAGCCGCACCGTCCAGTGGCATGTGGGTTGCAGGCGGGGGAGGCTGTATGTGCACTCTGCCATGCCGCGGGTGCTTCACCGCCTCGCTACCGCCCGTGCTGATGGCCGCGCTGGGGGAGGCGTGTGAGGCACTGTCCGCCACAGCATCTGTAGTAGTGGTGTCAGCAGCAGCAGTGTCAGCAGCAGCGGTATCAGCAGCAGCGGTATCAGCAGCAGCGGTATCAGCAGCAGCGGTATCAGCCGCAGCAGCATCTGCAGCAGCAGCAGCAGCAGCAGTGGGAGGGAGGGAGAGAGGGGAGGAGGGGTGATGGGCGAGGGAGAGGAGCCCATCCATGGCAGCCCAGTCACCGGCGAAGAAGCGCGTGCGCAGGTCAGGCAGGGGCGACTTGGGCGTCACCGGCGGCGAGCACGGCGAGGAGCCACTGCCTGCCGTCCTCCCACTCGCGTCCTCCCCGCCCCCACCCCCACCCCCACTGCCCGCCGTGTGCTCCCTGCGCTGATGCGGGGGAGTGGTGGCAGCGGCGGCGAGGTTGGCGGTGAGGTTGGGGATGGTGAGGTTGAGCAGCACCTCCGCGTTGAAGTCCTGGAAATGCACCCCCGCCGCACCCTGCTCGCCCCGCCACCACAGGGGGGTGCCATGGGCCGTGGGGCAGAAGCACACCGAGTGACAGGGGGAGATGGGGAGACGCGGAGAAGGGGAGAGGAGAAGACGGGTGGAAGGGAAGAGGGGGAGAGGTAGGAGAGTGTGAGTGACGGGCGTGAGCAGGTGGGTGCTGCAGTCCTGGCAGAGAAGTGGTGGCTTCCAAGGGGAGGGAAAGAGCGGCAGGCAGCGCACAGCAAGACAGTGCCGATATGTGTGTGACGGGATGAAAGGGGAAAGTTGAAAGAGAACGAGGAAACTGGAAGGGAAAACAATGAAAGAGGAGATAGAATGGGACAGAAGAAACCTGGTTTGTAGATTGAGTGAGTATGATACAGTAACACAGTTAAGTGAGTGCAAATGCAAGTGGACATATTGAAATTAGGGAGACGTGGCAGTAAGAGATGTGACAATAGACAGCCGTGGCAAGCAGTAGCTGTGTTGTAACGATGTAACGAGGTGGGGTGTGAGGGCGAGGTGGGGTGGGGTGTGAGGGCGAGGTGGGGTGGGGTGTGAGCGCGAGGTGGGGTGTGAGGGCGAGGTGGGGTGTGAGGGCGAGGTGGGGTGTGACGGCGAGGTGGGGTGTGACGGCGAGGTGGGGTGTGACGGCGAGGTGGGGTGTGACGGCGAGGTGGGGTGTGAGGGCGAGGTGGGGTGTGAGGGCGAGGTGGGGTGTGAGGGCGAGGTGGGGTGTGAGGGCGGGTCACCTTGAGGCAGGCGAGAATGCCCGGCAGCCCGTGACCACAGCCCAGCTGATGGGCGGGGGATGGTTGAGGTGCAGGCGAGAGGGGGGAGACAGGGAGGAGGGGGAAGGGATGGAGGGAGGGAGGGAGAGGAGGATGGGATGGGAGGGCGGGGGGAGTTGAGAGAGGACAAGGAACACATAATGAGAGGATGGGAGGGCAAATTGCACGACTCCAAGCAGACAAGCATCAAAAGACAAATATGAATCCTTTGAACGGGCCAAACGGGCTAGTCCAGTGCAGTGCAGTGCAGGGCAGGGCAGGGCAGGGCAGGGCAGGGCAGGGCAGGGCAGGGCAGGGCAGGGCAGGGCAGGGCAGGGCAGGGCAGGGCAGGGCAGGGCAGTGCAGGGAAGGGCAGGGCAGTGCGGGGCAGGGCAGTGCAGGGAAGGGCAGGGCAGTGCGGGGCAGGGCAGTGCAGGGCACTGCGGTGCAGTGCAGGGCGCACCTCGAGCACATGCTTGCGGCGGAAGGAGAGGGTGCCGTCCTGCATGTCGGCCCGCACGGCCTCCATCAGGTCTACCGCCGCCTCCCACAGCTTGAACCCGCCTGCCACCGTGCAACGCACGTGGGGCATGTGGTGCCATGTGGTGTCATGTGGTGCCATGTGGTGTCATGTGGTGCCATGTGGTGCCATGTGGTGCCATGTGGTGCCACGTGGTGCCATGTGGTGTCATGTGGTCCCATGCAAGGCATGTGGTGCCATGTGGTGGTGTCATGGGGTGTGTTGAGCAATGGGGTGCGGGGTGTGGGGACATGGGTTGGGGTGTCATGTACCATCCTGTCCCTCCCCACACCACCCTCCGTTCCTGCCTCTCCAGAACATGAATCTGCTCTCACACTCGCAGAGGCACATGCGAGCACACATGGAGGCACCTTGTGCGACGTGCATACTGCCTGCCACAAGCTGTTCTCTCACACAAAATCTCACTTCATACTTTATCATTTCACCTACAGAATGACCCCACCTACATGGCTGATCTCACCTTCATACTTGCCGGGCACCAGGTCCGACGTTGTCCCGAGTAACATGGTTGTGCTCGCCTTGCCCTGGGGACGGGCAGGCATGATGGGAGGGCAAGCAGGCACGGTGGGAGGGCAAGCAGGCACGGTGGGAGAAAGGCAGGAAATTGACTGCCATTGACTGCCATTGACTGCCATTGACTGCCATCGACTGTCACTAACAGGCGTCACTTCTTACCTTGAGCAGTGTGAGTCCGCGCTCCAGCGTAATGGCTTCAGTGGGGAAGGGCAGAAAGCTCACGGCCTGCAGGAGCACACAGCACAGGGCGTGGGAAAGAGCAGGGTGACAGACAGGGGTGCTTGTCTTCAACGGAGAGGGTTATCGCTGTACCACGCTGCCTCTCACTGCACCACTCTGCCTCTTATCCACACTGCTCTCCCACCCACTCGTCCCCTTCCTGAGTGACGGCCCCACCGTGCCAGTGGCCCCTCCGCGGTCCCCCTCTTCCCACACTCCCCTCCCCGCACAGCGCCCACCCGCGCCCTCCCTGTGCTCCTATAACGCCTCGTGCTAGACCACTGGACCGAAACGGGGGTTGTTCGGAGGCGCAGCGGTTGCCTTTCACCCTTCGTGCCCTTGGGCGCTACCACTCACCTCGGCGCGCCTCACTTCCCTCGCCACTGGCGCTGCTGCCTCCGCCTGCCCCTCATCCTCGCGCTCCTCCTGCTGGCACCCCACCAAGGGGAGGCGGGGAGACAAGGGGAAGGGGGACGGGAAGCGGAAAAACTGCGGATGGGTGGCGCGAGGAGTGGATGCACGCATGGAGAGAGCAAGGGAAAGAGCCACAAGCGGGGACTGGGGATGGCGGCGATGACTGGCTCTCGCATCGCGCGCACCAAAGCACGAGGCTCATCGCTGGCGACGCCACTCGTACTAGCGATCATGCGAACCATCACGACGCAAGGCAGCTCTGCGCTTCGACGAGGCAGCGAGAAAGCAGCGAGCGAGAGGGCAGCGAGAGAGCACGGGGTGCTTACGACGGGTGCATTCCGCGTGAGTCGATCCAAGAAGGACGAGGCCGAGGAATCCATGGCTACTTTACGAACTCTCAAAACAGGGCATCGAGAAGACGTCGAAACAACGAATAAGGGCTCTACTCCCCCTTCCTGCATCTGCGGGGATATACGCGGTATTATATGTCCCACACTATTGCAACCCTACAGCAAGGTACACAGAATCCTCTTCTTCCATCAGATGTGTAAGAAAGCTGCTGTCCTCATACACGCCCAATCTCTAGACTAATCAGGATGCGGTAAAAGTGCGAATATCGCAGGATCGTGCCCGTATATCGAGTCGCACAATCGATTTAGCGGATTGATTGGCAAAACGATGCACAAACGGCGTTGTAACAACCGCCCCTAGGATTTGGGTTGATCTACAGCGATCAATGGTCGCATTCCCTTACTGTGCACTAATTATTGACAAAAACCTTACTGTAGCATGGTTACACGCTAGTTAACCGGATAACTAATCCGCACACTGATCGCGACAGACGATCGATCGTCTACTTTTACCGCGTTCTCACGCTCCAATTTCCTCAACAACCTAGGCGGTCATCTCTCTGGACGTTACAAAACTCACCTTTTTCATCTCTCTCATTATATCGCATACGACCCCAACTTTCGAAATGAAATTCTATGCCCGAATTCCTCGTCCTACAAGTCACACCACTTGGTATCAACGCTAGTTTTCTAACAGGCCCCATGGTTTTTGGATAGCTCAGTTTACGATGTAGGCTGAACAGAACTTGTTAGAATAAGGATCTTGGATAGGATAGGATGCCTTAGACATTGGTAGCGAAAGTCTTTGGTATAGTAGGAACCTTGTGCATAGTGAATGTAGATGACAAGATTGATTACAACAAGAAATTACAACCAACAAATAGATCTAGCTAGCCATGTACTCTAAGGGATACATTCCCTTATTATAACTGCTTTACATGCATTTCTACAGTAACCCTGACTCTTACTCTTCTCTTGTTATCGGGACGCTGCATGTAACTGTACAGACAGTTACGCATGTTGCCATTGCTCGCGTGTAACCGTTCGGTCCAGATGGTCAACAGTCGCGACAGTTGACTTTTGCGACTGTTGACCTTCCTGCCCTTTATGGGCGGATCCGATACTGCTGCTGTTGCTGCTTCGGTAGTAGTGGGTGCGATACAGCTGCACCTACGGGAATGCTTGATCTAATTCCCGGGAACTCCAACACTCCCCTTCATTCTTGGAGGTGCACCACGTGGCTCTTCTTGATGACTCCGCACAGGTCCGTGCAGTAGTGGAAGTTCTGACGTGGCAGTTTCTTCGTCAGAAAGTCAGCTGCTATCTCGCCAGTTGGGCAATAGGTGAGCTGGACCTTCCCTTTGTCGATTGCGTCCTTGACGAAGAAGTAACGCAGGGCGATGTGTTTGGTGCGGTTGACGAAGCCAGGTTTGTTCGCGATCTTGATCGCGCTCTGGTTGTCGCACAGTAACTTGAAATACTCGTTCATCGCCATCTTCGTTTCGTGTACGAGCTACGTGAGGTGAAGTCCTTCGCGAACTGCTGCGCTTGCTGCGATGAATCGGCTTCTACTGACGAAAGGGCGATGAGTTCCTGCTTCTGTGAGTTCCGAGAGATGGTTCTTGCAGGCTCGAGCTTGAAAACAAAGCCTGTGCGGAACATTCTGTTGTCTGCGTCCCCTGCGTGGTCAGATTCCACGTAGCCGGTAAGCTGCAGAGTAGCCGTTAGGTTCGCCTTGTAGGTAAGGCCGACGTCAGGAGTGGATATGAAGTATTGTAGGGCGCGTCGTAGGTCCGCCATGTTCTCCCCTTCAGGTCGGCGCAGGTACTGGGCGAGGTGGCTAGCGGCATACGATAAGTCCGGGCGGCATGTGACGACGGCGAAGAGCAGGCACCCGAGTTGCTGGTGGTAGAGGCGATGGTTTGCAGCGGAAAGTGGGGTGGTGTCGGGCACATGGTTAGGAGGAGGAGTGCGGAACGGAGTGGTGATGCCGATGGGAGCGATGCCGAACTTCTTAGCGAGTGTCTCGGCGTACTTCGCGGCGGACAGGTGGATGGTGTCAGCTGTCTGAGTGACGTTGAGGCCGAGGAATTGGGTGACGTCGTGATCGGCGGTCACCTCCAGCTTCTCCTTGACCTCGCGTTCGAAGATATCAAGGAGCTCCGTGTTGTCACCGGTGTGGAGCAGGTAGTCCACGTAGGCGACAAGCAGAATGAAGCTCCCGCGGGACTCGAGCTGATATATGCCTTGGTCGTGTGGCAGCTGCTGGAAACCGAGTTCGATGAGAATGGTGTGGAGGTACTGCTGCCACTGTCGCGATGCTTGTTTGATGTCGTACGGAGATTTCTGGAGGAGGCACACAGCGTCGCTGTCCTCCTCGAAGGCATGCGGCTGCTCGACGTAGATTATGGCGTCGACGATTGCGTACAGGAACGCTTTTGTCTCGTCGATCTTGTGCAATGGGCGCTGCTTCACGGCGGCGATGCAGATTAAGATGCGTTCAGACATGAGTCGTCCGACCGGCGCGAAGGTTTGGTCGTAGTCGATGTTATGTGTTTGCTCGAAGCCGCGTACCACCTAGCGTGCTTTGTACTTCTCGATTGATCCGTCCGCGAGTGTTTTGATGCGAAACACCCATGTCCCCGTGAGAATCTTCCTCCCCTTTGCGTGTCGTCGTGGTACCAGCTTCCAGGTGCCGCGCCTTTGGAGTGCAGCGACTTCTGCGGCCATGGCTGCTCTCCATTTCTCGGCATCGGGTCCGTTCAAAGCCTGGCGAACGGTCGTGGGTTCAACCAACTACTGGTTACCACGTATGGCAACAGCGAGACCGAGGATGCGAAGTCCGGTGAGGTTGGACTCGGCTGTGTTGGTTACTTCGACCACGTCGTCGTCGTCGCCGGGGATGTCGCGAATAGTGTCGCGAGAGGAGTTGCGGTTGGGATCTTCGTCCATGGGTGAGTGCATTTTTGCACTTACGTAATCATGTTGCGCCTGTACTGCTTCGTGTGGATCGGGATCGGTTGGGAAGAAATGTGCGGTGCCGCATTCCTCTGTAACAAGGACGAAGGGTGCTTCTTCTGCAGTTGTTTCCTCTGGCTGCTATCCCGCTGTCAAACATTATATGTTTACATTGTGTAGGCTATAGTAGGTTTAGCCTTAGGGGGTACAACAAACTTAGGGTTTCCTACTTGTACCCAACTTTCTGCTAGTTTATCTCATTCTCGTTCATCCTTAGTTTCTAACACCTGCCACGTCAACCTCGTCCTCATCGCTTGCGTAGCTGTTCTATCCCTGGAAAATGTTGTCTGGTGCGTCTCTTGCAGTGCGGTGCTGTGGGTACAGTGACATGGTCAGCCTTTCGAAGAAGATGCAGTCACATGAACGCGTGACTTGGTGGGTGGTGAAGTCGAGGATGGTCCAGGCGTGGTATTCAGATTCGATTCCGAGGTGGATGCCCCAGCGTGCGCGATCTTCAAACTTTCCGGTCCGGGCAGTGTGGGGACGGTACTGTACCATACACCCGAAAACCCGAAGCATGCGTGTGTCAGGGTTTTTGCCGGTCCACTCCTTGAACGGTGAGGTGTTGTTGGGCAGGGCTTTTGAAGAAAGCATGTTGTGCAGGCAAAAAACATGCGCCATCGCGAAGGGCCAATACTTGGTTGGCACAGCTGACTGCTTCATGAGGGCTTGCATTTTTGTCGCGAGGCTCCGGTTGGTTCTCTCCGCCAGTCCCTGCGCTGGTGAGCGTAGGGGAGGGAGATCATCCTCTGGATTCCCTCTTCCGCACAGAGGGTTTTGAACTCCTCTGTCTGGTACTCTCTAGTGCCCCGTCCTTCTGGAAGGCCTTCTGTTTCTTGCCTTTGCTCTAAGTCTGCGCAATTTTGAGCCACAGGTAGAAGCACTGGTAGGCGAGATAGCGGTTGCTGACATTTACAGCCCAGACGAAGTGCGTGGCGGCGTCGATGAAGGTAAGAGTATACTGCTCCCCTCCTAGCCCTTTTGCTGTGAGCACCAGAAAATCGCTGTAGACTCTGTCAAATGGTTCGTATCGCTCGGCTCCATGTATCTTTTCAGCGAAAGGGGTGTGGTGCAGCGCGGCTTCCGGGCAGACGGTGCAATTCGGTAAGTGCTCCCTTGGCTTCAGGAGCTCTCCATCTCGCAGCAACAGTGCGTCTTCCGCTAAAACTTTTGCGTTGATGCAGTTGCTGAGCACTTCGATTGACGGGTGTCCGAGGCGGTTGTGCCAGATGTCTTGATCGGCGCGGTATCCTCATGTGCGAGTGTAGATCTCCTGTTCTCGCGCTAAGATTTTCTCTGCGGTTCCTTTTCCCACTTCTTCCGCAGGTTCTTCTGGTACGAGAACTTGAACTGCTGCCACTTGGAGTGTCTCAAATCGTGCGCCGTAGTACGTCCCGCTAGAGTCGCCGATGACGGTGGTGTCGATTGTCACAGGGAGCTCCAACGGTCCTTCTGGGGGAGTCGGCGTGATTCTTGGATGACGGTCTTCCGGTTTAGTTACTTCTCCTTCCTCGAAGTCGGAGTCGCCAATTGTCGCTCCCCTTGTCTCGAGCCGGAGGTAGCTTCTTTCCATGGGTGGTGATAGGAAGCATGTGAGGGCCGTATTCGGTCAGCGCTTCTTCTTCTTCTGCTTCTAGCACTTCCTCAGTAACTTCCGGTTCTTCTTCGCCTTCTGCAGGTCCTTCGGCGATGTTGCCTTCTCCTTCCGCAGGTCCTTCGGCGATGTTGCCCCACCCCGTTTCTGCTTCACTGGCTTCTCCCAACGCTGTGTTGTGAATGATCCAGGCGGTGTCGACCACGTCCCACCCTTCGGTCGGGTTCCAGCCGGTAGGTTGCTAAACTCGGGGCCAGATTGCTCGTGCAAATCCTCCGGTAGTTCCTTCTCCTGCTCCCGTGTCTTCTGCTCCCGAACTTATTTCTTCTCCTTCTTCCATTGCCTGTGGTCCGGTGTCCGCAGGGTTCGTAGTTGACGCGACGGGTACGGCGAGGCGCGGAAGGTTCCGTCGTGGCCC